TAGCTATTTGGACTTCAATTATTAATGAAATTAGTGTCCTAAATGTCAGCAAGAGCATTGCCTTAGGTAAAAGCTGTAAAGGAAATCATATTAGTGTGGAATTTCCTCTCCTCAGGGGCTCCTCTTATATTACATTATTCACTTAGCTATCTCCTATCAGGAAGATGGAACTGTTGGCCATCATCTGATCCTGGGGCAGAACCAAGTAGAGACGTTAAGGGGGTTCATGATAGCATCAATTCCAAAACCTTTGTGTGGTGCTGGTATTGCCTCGGTCCAATTCAGAGTTCACAAAACAGCACCAGTAAGGACAGCACAAACTGGCAAACGGAACAGAGTGGAGAGGAACCCTGTCATGAAAAGTTGAGTGGCGTTTCATCCAGTTGGCAAGTTTGCACTTCTCCTCTTTGGGACCTGCCCAAGAACACTGGCAAGTGTGATGGCTCTTCTGTGGCCCTGCATCCTAGTGGCTGCCAGAGGTGAGTCCTGTTAATGATTTTACTAGGCATCAAATGTTAACCCCTGGAAGCTAGAGACAGTATATCAGTTGTTCACTTTTATTCGTTGTTTGTGAAATGTTACTCCTGTGAATCCACACAAAGATCAGTGACTTGTTTCTGACTTTGTTCCTACAATTACACACAGATGTATAGCATTCCATGGTGAGGATTTTTGGGTATAGCTAAAATTGCCTCTAAAATGATGTAATTGTTTGATGACTTTCTGCTTCTTTAGAAATCATAGTCTCTGCAGCAATTTGCAAGAGTTTGGGCATTCTTTTTCAGATTTGCTTTTATGTATAGTGAATATATTTTTATTATCCAAAATAGACTTATAAGCTTTGAGGAGCCTAGAGAAAGAGTTCTGTGAATTTCCCATGGATACAGACACATGTATATATTTTGGTATTACGGGGTTTATATCCAGCCTTACAAAATCTATATAGTGATAAGTGTACTTCTAAGGATAAATACTAAAAACTCACAGGTTTTGAGTTTGCAATTCCTCTTTAAAAGACCCTAGAAACTTTCTAAATTTCTGGAACTATTCTTCCGTGGTCCTATTATTTCTGTTTGTTTGTTTTTGTTTGTTTTTGTTTGGTTTTTTTTGGTACCGGGGATTGAACTTAGGACCTTGTGCTTTCGAGGCAGGTGCCCGAACCACTGAGCTACATCCTCGGTCCCCCGGGGTGCTATTATTAACTCTTCTTTCTTGAACTATTTTATTTAGTATATAATTTATTTTTTACAAATGTGGACATGTCACAAATTTGTGATTGTGCTGGTGTTTCCCAATACCCTACTTTCTTGGGGGTTCTCCTAGATCCTCCTAAATCCCTGGCCCTACTTCTTACACTTCTTATTAAAGTGTAAAAATCCTGGGATGATGATGGCCAGGGATTTAGCTCAGTGGCACCGTGCCTGCCTTGCAAGTGCAAGGTCCTGAGATCGATCCCCAGTACAGAAAAAATCCTGGATATTTAAATTAAAGGATAAAAACATACCTCAATTATAAAAATAAAATAGAGGAAATTTCATTAAGGGCCAAATAAATTTCGTTTTTTTTCCTTTTCTTTCTTTCTTTTTTTTTTCAGTACTGGGGATCAAATTCAAGATCTTGTGCCTGCAATCCAGGCATGGTGCCACTGAGCTAAATCCCAACCCCCCAAATGAATTTCTTAGCAGAAAATAATTGTCAACATTAAGCTAAGATAAAGTAGAAAAATGAAGGTAGGAAACAGAAGAAATTCTTCTTAATGATATATCTTTTCTAATGTTTTGTATTTATGCTTGCTTTTTCCTCTAAACATAGCATAAAAGTGTTTTAGTCATGTCTAATAACAAGTACTTTACTACAAATCATACTGAGGACCCTTAAGGCAAGGAAATCTGTCCTTTAGAATTTCCCTGGGTTACTATTGAGATGATTGGTAAATGTAAGAACACTGAGTTGATTACTGATATATAGCTACTGATTGTACAGTGGAGTGGAAGAAGGTCTAGCTCCACCTTCACTGTCACTAGTCATCTGGGTAAGTCAGTTAATCTTTTCAGCTCTCAGTTTCCATAAGATAACTTATTTTGGGGGGACATTCATGAAGATCAATTAAGATTGTGAAATTTTAAGGTACAATGAAAATAAATTATTGACCTGAAACCACTCTCCCCCCCTGGCGGGGGGTGCAGAGAAAGAAAGAAAAAAATAACCTTGTTGTTTTTACCCAATCATGTACAGTCAGCCTTCCTTTTTGAAGGCTTACTCACTACTGTTCCTAATAGGCAGGTCAGTATAGTGCCATGCTGAAGAGTTTAGGCTTTGGATCCAGACTAGCTGCATTTAAATTTCAGCCCCTTTGTTTGCAAGCTGTGTGGCCTTGGGCAGTACTGACCTCACTAAGCCTGTGGTCCCTCACCTACAGTAATTATACACTTCTCATAGGGCTGTAAAATACCTAGCTAATAAGATTATAGTGACTGTTACAAGATCATTTATACAAAGGGATTAGCCTACTCTCTGGCATACCGTACACGCTCAGATAGTACTAGGGATTCAGTAGAACCATTCAGCTAAACTTCATATTTCCTTGTAACCTCTCAGACATATGTCTCATTGTTTTATAAAGATACATACAAAGCCAAGAATAGCTCTTTTCATCAAAGTGCCCCAAACACTTTAAGATAAGTGTATGTGAGAGTAACTCATTAAAACAAGGAAAACAAAGGAATAATTCCATTGTATTCTTATGTTCTTTTTTACCTTTTATTTTTATTAGTACATTAGTACATGTGTGCAGTACAGAATGGTTGCATTCCTCATGCGGAGTTGATACATGTGCGGAAGACATCTTAATTCCTTTTTCATCTCCTTCCCCTTGTATTCTTATCTTCTTCTGTTTAAATCTCTCTTTGCCTACAAGTGCTTCACATCTCAGTCCCTAACACATTCTACTTTCCAGAGATTGTACAAATGAATTATTTGAAGCTGATTATTAGCATTCAGGAAGCCAGTGTTAGCAAGGCATCTTTCCTGTGTCTGTTGATAGCTTCCATCAGTGTCTGTTGAAACATCACTGAACTGTGAGTCATTTAGTGCTTGTGTGAATGTCACATTAGCTTTCAAGGGGCATCATTTACTGTTAATTAATGGTCACTTAAATCCTTAATCTTTCTCCTGTAATTGATCTTTCTCCTCAGGCAAATTTGCATTCATAGTAGAAATGTAATTTATTATTTCTTCCCATCTTAAACAAAGAACTCTTTCTCTTTTTGGTTTTAAGTACACTTCCATTTGCTTGTAATTTTTCTTTTTTCATTTCTTGTTTCTCTTTTGTTCCTGGTCCTACCTTCCAGAACTTTCTCTTTTTACCCAAGACTTTGATTCTAGAAAATATGTGTTTATCCATAGGAGACCTAGGGACTGGTCCCTAGAAAAGGTAGCAGAGGGGAATTGGAGTCTTTTTGAGCTAAGAGTGTAAGGAACACACATTTATTTCTCAGAATTATGTTTTAACACTGTCTCAGATAGTTTCCTGTATTGCATCATGCACATTTCAGCATTTCCCCAACTGAGACTTGAATTGAGAACTTCCAAGCGAGGTAAAAATGAGGCTGCCCAAAGCGAAGTTGGTAGGAAGAACACTGAGCCAGCTTTGCTTTATGTTCCTGACTTCTTCCCCTTGGAGTACACCCGTGAGAAATGGTCTCAGGTGGAGAGATTCACAGCACACTTTTTGACAATAACAGTTCACAAAACCCCTAAAAATGATGTGCCCAATGAGAGCCACTCACCTTAGTCCTGCATGCCTGAATACCTGATGCTATTTTGGGCATCTTCTTGGGTGAATAGTTAGGGAGTTAAAATGCTCATTAGATTCTCAGTTCTAATGGTAATGAAAGTGCATAGTCCACTGCCCGCAATGAGTCTGGGATTGTACCTCCAGCATTGTTGTTAGTATTTTGGTCATACTGACATTGATAAATCATAGGAATTGCTGCCTGTGGCGGCAAGTGACACAACATCATTCATAAAGAAATGGGCATAAACAGGATTGTCGCACAGGGAGAAGCGATCTCATTTACAGTTTCCTGCTGGACCTCTCATGCTTTCAGCAGCTCATCAAAATAACCATCAAAACCACTGAGAGCCCACGCAAATTCACACGCGGACACTACAGATAGAGCTCATCACACACTATGTCAGGAGGTGTGCAATTTGCTTCAGTCCAATGACTTAGCGAAGCTTTGAATCCCCTAAGGGCTGGCGAAGCTTGTGAACAAAATATCTTTTTGCAATTCAGAGAGAACCCTCACAAATTTGTCACTTCCAATTGTTCATGCTCATTTCTCTCGCGTTCTATCCCCTGGCCTCCCCTGCCTCAGCACTAGTCACTGCTCCTCTACAAATCAAGATTCCTGGGTCAGAGGAAATAGTTGTTCCCTGGAACCAGAGAGAATTTTCCCAAAACAAAGATCTCATTTTCTGACAAGTGCATTTTATTTAAAGGCAGACAATGTGAGAAAAGAGACTTTTGAGAAGAAAAGTCTGAATTGGAATCTCATTAATTTTATTATCTAGAAATACATACAGATTTCTTTGGGTTCAGTAGTTTGTGCATTACAAAAGAAAAATCAAAAGAAAAAAATAAAGTGCGAGTTAAGATTTGGCTAAGTGGGAGGGTTTCTTCTGTATGCCAAGAGGGGGTAACACAGGAATAATGAAAGAATTCTGTTCCCATGATGCATGATTGCTGTAAGAAGGAATTGTAGGTAGAGTTTGCACTTTTGGAGATGGGTTGATTTACCTGTCTTTAAAGTGAGATTTCTGTATTGGACACTTAGGCCACTCACTTACTTAAAATAAGTGTCTGCCAAAGAGCCCACTAGCTAGCTGTGAATGTGTGCAGACTGTATTCCACGAAGAGCTAACACATTCTGAATGATCTAAAATCTCCTAAAAATGCTTTTTATTTTCATCTTCACAGTGAAAGTTTTCTTTTCCAGGAATTCTAGCCACAGATATGCTTCATCCCAGGAATTCTGCCCCGCATCACCTCACCAAGCAGTTATTACAGCAATACCAAAAGGAAGTGAGACCAGTTCACAACTGGGGTGAGCCCACCACTGTCTACCTGGACTTATTTGTCCATGCTGTGCTGGATGTGGTAAGGACCATTTTGTCCTTTCTTATTCTTGTTCCCCTCTGTTAAAGCTACCTGCAGTTTATGCAGGAACCTGGAAGAGATTTTATTCTTAGGACTAGCTGAACTGCTGGAGAAGTTGTGCTAGGTTCATTTTAGCAGTTAGCATGGGGTAAAATATTTATTTGGCAAATCATGCTTTCTTGCCTCCCACTTATAGGGTAAAAGACAAATAGTATAGAAATATCATGGAATTAAAATGTTTTAGGAATCATGGTTATAGGTCATAGTACATATTTTATGAATATTGCTGAAATCCAGGATGGTAATAGGTGTCTTTTCCTGTGATTCAGATTTATTAGTGGAAGTAGTAGATTCAGGAAAAGATCTCTCGCTTATTGCCTGAAATTTGAAAGAGAAAAATGCCTTAGTACCGTGAGTTTATAAAAGGGCTTTTATATCTAAAGTGTTTGCCAAGAATGGCAGGGAGGACTTGTTTATTAAAGCATCTTTTTCCTGTTATTTCTGAAAGATGGGTCATAGGAAGGAAATGAGAAAACTTATGTAAAGCTGTTAGCAGAGTTCTTAGTAAACTCCCTATAAATGATAGCCTTGATGATTATTATCTCCTTTTCCTTCTTCCTCCTTTTTTTTTTTTTTTTTGGTACCAGGGATTGAACTCTGGACCTTGAGCTTGCGAGGCAGGTGGCAGAACCACTGAGCTAAATCTCCTGCCTTCTTCCTCCTTTTTTCCTAACTACAAATCTTCAATATCAATAGATCCCAGATTTATCTTGATTTCTGTTAAAAACACACTTTAAATTTTGTTAAAGTAGTTTAATAATTGTTTTACAATTTAATTCTCAAAACTTTCTTGTTTTGTGGTGGGAATTGAACCCAGGACTTCACATATGGTAGGCAGATGTTCTATCACTGAGCTATAGCCCCATTTCATTTTTTGAAATTAAGATATAACATATATGTATTGAAATGTACAGGCTTTAGGAGTACAGTTGTATCAGTGATTTTGATCATTGCACACCCATATAATTCATACCTCTATCAAGGTATTAAAGATTTCCATCATTTCCAGAAAGATCCCTCATTCCCTTCCTAGTCTATTCTCATCCCCTCTATCCACAGACAAATATGATTCTGATTTCATCCATCAGTGATTAGTTTTTAAATTCTAGAACTTCATATGAGATATGTTTGGCTTTTAAATTTTTCCTTGTCTTGAATATTTTTGGGGGTGTGCTTTACTAGGGACCAAACCTAGGGGCCCTTTTATGATAGATAAGCACTGTACCATTGAGCTACATTTTTAGTCCAGTAATTTGTGTTAATGAAAGGAATTGGACTATTTCATTGAAGTTGCCAAATTTATTGGCTTCAAGTTGTTCAGTTTCCCTTTCTATTAATTTAATATTTATAGTATTTCTAGTGATATGGCCTCCTTTATGCTTCACATTGTTTTTGTTTTGTTTTGCTTTGCTTTGTTTTTTTGTGGTAGTGTGGATTGAACTTCACACTGAGCTACATTCCCAGCCCTTTTTTGAGGAAGGATTTCTTGCTAAGTTACCCAGATTTGGCTCAAACCTGCTATTCTCCTGCCTCAGCCTCCCAGAGTGCTGGGATTACAGGAGTGCACCTCCAAGTCTGGCTTATGCCTCATGTTGGTAATTTATTGTTTCTCGTATTTTTCTCTTGACCAATCTTGCCAAAAGTTTATCAATTTTATTTGCTTTTTCAAAGAATCAAATCTGTAATTTTCTCTATTATTTATTTTCTATTTCACTGATATCTGCTTTTATCTTTATTATTTCTTTTACTTACTTTGTGTTTAATTTGGCTCCCCCACCTTTTTTTTTCTTGTTTGTTATTTTGTTTGTTTGGTTGGTTTTTGGTACTGGGGATCGAACTCAGGACCTTGTGTTTGCCAGGCAGGCACGGGGCCACTGAGCTACATCCCTGACCCTCTTGTTTGTTTTTTTGAGACAGGGTCTCGATATGTAGCACAGACTGGCCTCCAACTCATAGCAATCCTCCTGCCTCAGAGAGCTGGGAATCCAGGCATGCACCTTAATGTCTCTTTTAATGTATTTTATTTTATTTTTGGTACTGGGGAATTGAACTTGGGACCTTGCTCTTGCAAGGTAGGCAGCAGAACCACTGAGCTAAATACCTGGCTGTGTCTTTTTTTTTCAAATCTAATTTCTTAAAGTAGAAATATAGACACATAATTTTAAATTTTTTTTCTGTTCTAATATAAGCATTTACTACCCTAAACACAACTTTAGTTGCATCCTACAAATTTTGATGCATTTTAAAAATTGAAGTATAAATTACATAGAATGAAATTCATCTTTTAAAGCCATTTCTCTCTAACCACAGTCCCTGGCAACTACTGATCTGATTTTTCACCTATAGCTTTAACTTACCCCGAATGTCATATAAATGGAATTTTAAGAGTATTTTACCATCTGTGTCTGACTTCTTTCACTTAGCATAATACCTTTCAGATTCATCCATGTCATTGCATATTTCAGTAGTAGGAGTCCACTGTTCAGGTGTACTATGATTTGTTTATCTGTTTAACAGTTGTTGGACATGAGAATTGTTTTTATTTGGGGCAATTATGAATAAAGCCATATTAAATATTTATATACAGGGCCAGGGATTTAGCTCAGTGGTTTCACTGCCTGCTGTGCAAACGCAAGGACCCGAGTTTGATCCCTGGTACCAAAAAAAGAAAAAGATTTACATACATTTTTATTTCCTTTGGATACTTAGATATGGTATTGCTGAGTTGTGTGATAAGTTTGTGCTTAATTTTGTAAGAAACCATCAAGCTGTTTTTCTGATGTGGCTGTTTTCATTTTGCATTCCATTTAAAATGGCTGAATTTTCCAGTCTCTTCACATCATCACTATCACTTGATATAGTCAATCTTTTTAATGTTAACTATTCTAGTAGATTTGTAGTATTTAAATTTAAATTTTTTTTTATTTCCCTAAATACTGTTACTAAACGTCTTTTACCTGCCAACTGTATATCTTTTTTGATGAAGTATTTGCTTATATATTTATTCCTCTTTTTACAGTGGATTATTATTTTATTGCCAAGTTATGAGAGTTCTTTATATATTTTGAGCCTATTTCTGTACTGTTTTCTCTCCAGCTTATCCATATTTCTACTCAATCCAATACCACACTGTTTCAAATACTGTAGCATTACAGAAGTCTTGAAATCAAATAGTGTGAGACTTCTAATTTCATTCTTCTTTTCTAAAACTGTTTTGACTTTTCTAGATCCTTTACATTTACATATGAACTTTAGAATTAACTTACTAATCTCTAAAAAAATCTTCTCGAAATTTGATTGGCATTGCATTGAAATCCATAGGTCAGTTTGAAGAGAATTGCCTAACAATATTGAGTCATCTGATTCATGGCTTTATTGTTTATTACCATAGTTTAGATTTTTTTTTTTCATAGTTTAGTTTTTAAACTTCCCTTAATGTTTTGTAGCTTTCATGTGTTCCACATATTCAGTTAAATTTATCCTTAAGTATTTCACTTTTTTGTTGCTGTTGTAAATAGTATTTTATTTACTTTTAAAAATGCTTATTAGTACATGTTTGCATTATATAATGATTACATTCACCATGGGGGGACAGTTGATATATGTACATAACACGTTTCAATTCTTTTTACTTTCTATTTCCAACTCTTCTTTCCTTCTTATAAATAATACTTTAAATTTGAATTTAGTTGTTTATTGCTAGCCTACAAAAATACAGTTGATTTGTATATATTGGCCTTGGATCCTGTAATGCTGACATCTCTTTTCCAGACTTTTCTGTATATTCTTTCAGATTTTCTATGTAGGAGATCATGTTGTCAGTGAGCAAAGACAGTTTTACTTTTTCCTTTT